TGAACCAAATCAAGGATTTTCTACTTTGAAGGAGAAAACCAGGGAAACTATGGGTTTCTCCTTGTAGGCTGGCAGAGTTCCAGGCAGCAAAGGGCTGCTTGGGGCTGGGGGAGCAGGAGGCAGGGTCAGGAGGCTTCATGTGCATGTGTGCGCAGATGCATGCATGTGGCAGCCAGGCAGTGTGGTGGAGATCAGCTCCCCCCCTCCAGGTAAGTTTATGGGGGTGGGTGGCAGCAGCATGCGTGTTGTGCCCCCTGCTGCTGCCAGGGGGCATCTCACTTTGGGAGCCATGGTAGTGTGGCACTCCTTCCCACACTGGATCCTGCCCACTGGGGCACCAAGGTGGCTCCTGCTTGGAGCTTGTCCAGTCTGGCTGCAGCCCTGTGCTCTGCTATGGGCATAGAAAACTGGGGAGGGGGGCATGTGCCCCCCATGGCCTGTGCCCACACCTGCTGTTCTTCACACATCCACCCTGTTCCCCACACACTGGTGGCTGGAGTCTGGGGGTGGGGGGCAGCAGGTGAGGAGTGAGAGGCACCAGTAAAGTGGCTGTAGATTGGGAGTGAGGGGCAATGGCAGGGGCAGGGCACCAGCATATCAGGGCTACTCAGCACCACAAAGCAGCAGGGAGGGTGGTGGGACAGCCGCAGCTGGACCCACATCCTGATGAGCGAAGTGGGCAGGGAGAGCTCTGATTTTTCTATGGAAAAAACCCCCCAAAATCAAATGCCAAAATATATAGGTATTTATCATTTATTTTATTATAATGATTGAGGCAACGGTAGGCTTCCATATTGCTTTAAAATTGTAAATATATCCATAAAAATTGTGTTCAACTGATACCTATATATACACATAATGGAGTAGTGTGTCCAGTTTTGCTCCCCCCCCCCTACAGAAAGGATACGGACAAGTTGGAGGGAGTCCAGCAGAGGGCAGTGGAAATGGTTCAGGGGCTGGGGCATATGATTTACGAGGAGAGGCCAAGGGAACTGGGCTTATTTAGTCTGCCTAAGAGAAGATTGAGGTGGGATTTGATAGCAGCCTTTAGCTACCTGAAGTGGGGTTCCACGGAGGATGGATCTGGACTGTTCTCAGTGGTGGCAGATGACAAAACAAGGAGCAATGGTATCAAGTTGCAGCAAGGGAAGTTTAGGTTGGATATTAGGACACACTTTTTCACTAGGAGGGTGGTCAAGCATTGGAACAAGTTGCCTAGAGAGGTGGTGGAATCTCCATCCTTGAAGGTTTTTAAGGCCTGGCCTATCAAAGCCCTGGCTAGATTGATCTAGTTGGTGATGGTCCTGCTTTGAGCAGGGGGTTGGACTAGATGTGACCTCCTGAGGTCCCTTCCAACTCTAATTTTCTATGATTCTGTGAGTACATTTGTATCCCTATTGAGCAGAAGCATAATTGAGGGGGAGGAGGCGACTAGCCCCAGGAGCCCACTTAAAGGGGTACAATGCCTAGTGGGAAGAACCTGGTTGTTAGGCCTCTGTTCGTTTCACTCACTTATCCATTAGCCTGCAGACCATCACCACTTAGTTCTTTGCCTTTGCACAGTCTGCCTTTTGTGATGTGGCTATCTGTCCAGTGGAAGATGGTTATCAGAGCACAATTTACTCTTCAGCTGTTTGTCACAGTTTGTGGTTGAACTGGCAAAGCAGGTTTAGGCTCACTTCTTGCCTTAATTCACATCTGTAAGTGCTGAAAAAAGTTTGATATGTCCATCATCCTTCAATTTAAACAATAGTTATTTCTTGAAGGCACAGAAGCATAATTGTTTAGTACTACAAGATCTCTGGATACACAGATAACGGTCTGTTCAGGACAAATTGAGTGATCCAGTTTTTCAGTAGGAGTCCGTGCGTGTCCTCCTCATAGCAGCTTCAAGACTTTCCATATGTGGTTTCTATACCATCTTGCTGCTCAGCTGCAAGAACACAGTTTCCATAGGTGGTTTTCATACCATCTTGCTGTTCCGCTGTCTGAAGCGGTGTTATTCTTTCTGGCCAAAAGTAGCTGTTTCCTTTTGATTATATCCCTTTATACTTTTATCTCTTTTTAATGACATCAGGGTCTTACTCAAGTAGGCTCTCGGTGTTTGGTGCACTGTCAGCTAACAAAAGGCCATCTTGGTGGAATTTTGTTCAGGGTTCATGTTGCAATGATTTTCTTCAGCCTTGACTACTTAGGCTTAGTGTTGATGGCTGAAGGGTGTGTATCATGAGTTTATAGTAGTGTAACATTACTCCTTTTGACTTGTGTAACTAGCCATAATTCAGTGTCTTGTAGGCTATTCCTTC